TATATTTATCAGGTAACTCATATAAATGTCCAAAGTCTTGCTTGCAAAGAGTGCTTCATGGACCAGCAACATCAGCATCATCTGAGTCTTATCAGAATTGAGTTTCTGGGGTCCTCACTAGACCTGCCAAGTGTTTGTATTCTTCTTAAGGAGATCCCGCAGGGGCTTTTATGTTCTTTAAACTCAGAGAAGCGTTGCTCTATGTAATTTATACGCTGTGAGAAACAACATATGCAAGCCGACAGTGCACAGTGACTCCTACCAACTCTTCTTTGGTTATTTCTCTTTCCCTAGAAAATTCTAAATTTTTGATAACACTGTACAAGGACACAAAAAATAAAATCCAACATCTGTTAAACACTTGATTCAATGTGTCCTAAGATAACTTTGCTTCTTATTCCTCATCAATGAGAAGCAGTCCAGGCTGCAGAAGAAAGCATGCTGGGCCAGTGAGATAGCTCAGCAGACTAAGCGCCTGCTTTGGCAAGAGCAGGGACCAGGATTCAATCCCCAGCCCTGCGTGCCGTGCCCGCCCTGCCCCCAGGACAAGCTGAGCCAGTGACCAAGTCCAGGTGTGGTGATTCACACCTGTAATCCCAGAGGCTGAAAAACAGGACCACTACAAGTCCAACCTGTGTGGTGAGACCCTGTACCAAATATGTAAAATGAAATAAATACATAAAAAAGCATGCCCCCAGGGATTGGACAGGCCTGGGTTGAATCTTAATTATGCCTACTATGACTATCACCTTAAGTAGGTATTCTACATTCTAATCTCACTGATCATTATTTATTTCTTTATTTATTTGGCAGTACCAAGGACCAGATTTCAATTTGATTTGATTTGATTCTATTTTATTTTTTGCCTCACTGATCACTGACTTTTGGGACCGGATTTTAATTATATTTGATTTGATTTGATTTGATTATATTTTATTTTTTGCCTCACTGATCTCTGACTTTTGGGAGGGGGGTGGGAACCAGGTATCAAACTCAGGACCTTGTGCTTGCCAGGCAGGCACTTATGCCACTAAGTTATCTCCCCAGCCCAACATTTTTTTTTTTTAAAATAACA